TGAGGTGCTGGTGGTGTGCCTGGGACAGAACTAATTTTTTGTCCTTTCCTTACTTCTAAAACAGGGAACCTTCCTGTGGGGACCAGTACTTGAGCTGTGTAGTTTAGCTAAATTGCTGCTTTGCTGCTGATTCCCTTGAGAAGGCTTTTTGTGCAGCTCAGGTTTTAATGGTTGACTTTATAGGTACTTCTGGCTCTTCAGAGACCTGGTGCACCTAGGTTGTGTCAAAACTCTGATCTGGACCTGAATCTTTTCATCAAACTGCACCCCATGAAATTCTATATTCCTGACCAGTCTCCTCTGAGTGGTCCTTTGCTGATTGGGGTGCAGGTCAGCTGTCCTTGCTGTGCCCCAGTGTTTCCCTGGTGAGCCTGTCTCCCCCACTACCCATACTCGAAACACTTCTCATGGGAAGGGCCATGTGCCGGTCCCTTGAAATGACTCACTGGCCTCTGAGTGGCTCCTTTTTTTCAGTTGTTGTGGTTCCTTGCTCCTTTGTGGGTCTATGGGAACCCTATTAGTGGTCTTGCTGGCCTGGGGGTCACCAAGGTCCTCTTCTCCCCTGCCACCTCCAAGCATCTGCATCTGAAAGTCACAGCTGTGGCTTTTGCTGCCTCCTGCTCCATGTGCTCCAACCTTAAAGCAGCCATGGAATGAAGTGCTCAGAGTGCTTTTTTCTTTCTCTCACTGTGACTTCTCCTGCTTTCATGCACTGCATAGATCTCTCCTCCTCTTCCCCTGAGCTCTAGAAGCCCCAGCTTGGCTGTTGTTGTTTCTTTATAGTTGTAAATTGGTTGATCTGTGGGAGAGAGTGATGTCGGGGACTGTCTATTCCACCATCTTGACCAGAAGCCCATGGTTGGAACTTTTTTTTTTTTTTTTTTTTTTTTAAAAAGATGACCGGTAAGGGGATCTTAACCCTTGACTTGGTGATGTCAGCACCAGGTTCAGCCAGTGAGCCAACCGGCCATCCCTATATCGGATCCGAACCCGCGGCCTTGGTGTTATCAGCACCGCACTCTCCCGAGTGAGCCACGGGCCAGCCCCCATGGTTGGAACTTTTTAAAACAAGTTTCACATGGCTCAGAGGAATACTGTGGCCCTTCTACAGACCAGGAGTGTCCCCTTCCCCCAGATGACATCATGTGTGGCTTTATTCTCTTTGCTCCAGATGGCCCAGACACCCCTACCATTTCCCCCCCAGACTCATCTTACCGTCCAGGAGCAAACCTCGGCCTCTTCTGCTACGCAGCCTCTAACCCACCCGCACAGTATTCGTGGCTTATCAATGGGAGACCCCAGCAATCCACACAAGAGCTCATTATCCCCAACATCACTGTGAATGATAGTGGATCCTATACCTGCCTTGCCCATAACTCTGCCACAGGCCTCAACAGGACCACAGTCAAGACGATCACAGTCTCTGGTAAGTGGATCCCGGCAGCATCGACACCAAGCTCTGGGGTGGAGTCTACCTGGTTTGCAAAGAGAATCCCAGAAAAAATTTCTTTCTCAGCCAGTATGCCATAGGTACAAGCAAAAGCCTAATTCTCCCCGAGTCCCCCGACTCCATCTCTGCAGATTCTCTCCTCCCCTTGACTCTCTGATTTCTCATGGCTGACCTTGGGTCAGGTCTAGAATATTGGAAGGGGGTTCTCCCAGCCTCAGAAAGACCCTTGTAGTGGGAGAGGTTTCAGTAAGGAGGGAAAAAAGAAAGGTCCTCAAGGTCAAGTTTCTTCTCTCTGTCATTAACTCATCAATTCTTTGTTTTCTCTCACCTACTCAATGAGCTACAAACAACACAGAGGATGGCATGTCACCGTGGTTTTGATTTGCATTTCTCTGATGATTAGTGATGTTAAGCATCTTTTCATA